GAGGTGTGAGGGCCTCTGAGTTAAATTGCTTTTTAGGACAAACAGCATAATCGTTCAAACTCAGTCGAAGCTCCAGAGTAGCCATTAGTGTCTCCAAGCTCGCAAAAATCCCAAAAACTCACCCCACGACCGCCCTTTGCAAAATTATTACAGTGCAAAAGGAGACCGTTCAGCCCACCCTACCTGAAAGGATCATTTTAACTCTTTAACCCTAACTCTTTCAACCAAACAACATTCAGGTTTCTTTGCTGGTCCTTTGTGCATGTATACATGGGAGGTGTACCCATTAACGATACCACACAGCTAAATTTTATTACAAAGACAATGTTTTGTATACTTTTTCTACAGGTAACATGTTTCCAATCAAAAGATTGCACATTTACTCAGCCATATTTCTGTCCAGCATTGTTCACATACTCGAGATTCCAGGTTAGTACATGATTATATTGTCCGATCATATTCAGGCCAGTACACATGATTGTATCTTATATTATCCAACTGTATCATAACCTGTTCACATCTTCCAACTGTAATTATTGGAAAACATATACTGTCCTCTGACCTCCTTTCACTGTCTGCGCTGACTCTCTTTGAGGGGAGATGATGGCCTAGTGATATTGTTGCTGGGTTGTTAATACAGACACGCAAGTAATATTCTGGTGATCTGGATTTAAATCCCACCATGGCTAATGGTGTGAACTTGAATTAAACTTTAAAAAAAAATCAGGAATTCAGAGTCTAAGGATGACCATGTGTTGATTATCAGGAATAACCGACCTGGTTCATTAATGTCCTTTAGGGAAGGAAACTGCCACCGTACCTGGTCTGGCCCACATGTGACTCTAGACCCACAGTGATGTGGTTAACTCTTAACTACCCTCTGGGCAATAAGGGATGGGTAATAAATGTTGTTCCAGTCAGTAACACTCCCATCCCATGAATGAATTTAAAAAAAGGATATTATCTACTGCCAATCCCCGCCTTTTCCCCATATCCTTTTGCAAACCTTTTCTATCCAAATAATCATCCAAATGCCTTGGAATCTCGCCCTCGAGTTTGGGAAGGCCTGGTGTACATCAAATCTGCCTTTGTGCCAGTGCACATTTTTAGTAACACCCCACTCCACTCTTGACCTGTGATTCCACAAAGTAGTAGAAGATTGATTGTAAACTCTGAAGAAATCTGGCTCATAAGTTTCTTTCTCCCCTCCTGGGTTGTCAAGTTAGTGTCGTTAGTGGATAATGGGGGAGCTGCATTCAATGTAGATGGATTGCAGATCCACTATCGCCTCCTGATGGCTGTGTAAGCAATAGGAGCTGGAAGAAGCTGCTGCTGGAATTGAGCTGATCAAGGAAAGAGCCAGCACAGTTGTGATTGGCTGAGTGGCCTCCTTCAACATTGGCAGCTTTGTTTCTACAGAAAGAATGACTTGCATTTATATAGCACTGCATCTCTGCTCGGTGTCTCACTGTTTCAGTCTAAAGGGCCATCTTTTATAATAGTGTATTGCAAGACCTCAGGTCACCAATAATGTAGTCACAGGACCAAGACAAATCCATCCAACCTCTGAAAAACCTGCTTTAGCCATTCCACTAGATTGTGGCTGATTCAGACAGCAACTCCACTGAGAATCCCTACTGTGTGGAAGTAATCCATTTGGCCCATCAAGTCCACACTGACCCTTGGAGGGCATCCCACCCTCCCCCTATTTTCCCTAGCTAATCCACCTCGCCTTGCATCATCATCAGCCCCTCACAAACAAAGATGATTCCCTTCCACTCTCAGGGTGAGTCCCTCTGCGGTTGTACAGACGGATACAGCTACTGCAGCCTCTGTTACACTGTGGGGAGGTGGTGGTCACAGGAAGGGGTGGATGGGGCATTGGTGTGGCAGCATGCTCCTTACGCTGTTTTCACCGTGCTTCCATTTTCTCCACAATGGCAAGTCTGAAGGTGCTCTGCACCTAACCTGCACATCCCTGAACACTAAGGGCAACTTAGCACAGCCAATCCACCTGGCCTGCACGTCTTTGGACTGTGGGAGGAAACCCACATAGACACAGGGAGAACGTGCAAACTCCCCACTACTGGTCACCCAAGGGTGGATTCGAACCCAGGTCCATGGCGCAGTGAGGTAGCAGTGCTAACCACTGAGTCACTGCATCGCCTCAACTTCACAACTCTTGATACCCATGACAAATGCTTGGCAGCTGCCTGCAGATGGGATAAGGTCTGGCTGCCTTGATGGTGCTGTTTGCATTGAAAGTTGTGAATGATGTCCTTAGCTGGGGGCTTACCACAGAATGAGACCCCAGCACATTATCAGAGGTGGGGGAGCAGTGGGGCCTGACATTCGGGGGGAAGAATTGCTGAAAAAAATGGTGTCTTCACATGAAGAAGACTGATTAAAGTTTGATGGAATGCATTATTAGAAGAGGAGACTCTGAATCTGGTGCAGCATATCTGTGTGACTGATGTAAAAGGGTTATCACCACAGGGAGTTTGAATGAGCTACGTCTGTGCCTTGATTCAAACAGCAAACGTCAAATAGTGTCTCAGTGATGCAAGATTTGTGGTACTGAACCATCAAAGGACATGTTTTGATTGTAGGTTAGTTTACATTGTTTACATGCTTGTAAAGGATGTGAACAATGATTGCTCCAACATGCCTAACTACGATTCAGATTTCTCAGCACTGATGATTTGATAGCCTGCCAAACCTTACATGTCCTGAGATTGCATTATTTTTTATCACCCAGCTAGAGATTTCTATATGTTTCAATAAGTTTTACTTAATAAAGCATTGGGGTTGGCATCGATATTTATCAGATATCAGTTTTGTGTGAATCTCCATCATCAGGCCTGGCCCTTCCCATTCTGGCTATTTATTGTCAGCCTGTTGATTCTCGGGTCAGGGATTGGAATGGGTCAGGCTCGTTATGAAGCTGCTTTCACATTGTCATGTCAGGTTGTCCCAGGTCAATGCAGCACGGACTGATTGTTAGCTGAGTAAAGCCTCCCTTGCACTGTCAGACCATGTCGATACGGAGAGAGCTTTACTCTGGGCCTAACCCGTGTTCTTTACTGATCTAAATTTAACGTAGAGTCATAGAGATGTGCAGCATGGGAACAGACCCTTTGGTCCAACTTGTCCATGCTGACCAGATATCCTAAATTAATCTAGTCCCATTTGCCAGCATTTGGCCCTTATCCCTCTAAACCCTTCCTATTCATGTACCCATCCAGATGTTTTTTAAATGTTGTAATTGTACCAGCCTCCACCCACTTCCTCTGGCAACTCGTTCCACACACGCACCACCCTCTGCATGATAAAGTTGCCCCTTAGGTCACTTTCTTTCTTTCCCCCCTTACCTTAAACCATTGCCCTCAAGTTTTGGACTCCCCTACCCTGGGAAAAAGACCTTGGCTATTCATCATATCCATGCCTGTCATGATTTTGTAAACCTCCATAAGGTCACCCCTCAGCCTCCGACACTCCAGGGAAAATAGACCTAGCCTATTCAGCCTTCCCTTTATCTCCAACCCTCCAACCCCAGCAACATCCTTGTAAATCTTTTCTGAGCCCTTTCAAGTTTCACAACATCATTCCTATAGGGCACGTTAAATCTTGAATAACTCTCCCTCAACACTTAAAAATAAGCACTTCAAGCTAATAGGAGAAGACTATCTCCCGTGCTCAGGAATAGGAAGGTCACTAAATGACGCGCTTCAGGTAAATTTTCTGTGCGCATAGGCGTGGAATGTAGAAGGCTTGAGTGATTGAACTACGACTTTCTCAGGGAAGCATAAAACAGAGGAAGTTACAAGGTAATGGGATTGCAAAATTAATTTTCAATTTCTCATGCAGAATGGTCAGCTCTAGACTTCTGTTTTTCCTCTCCTGTAATCACATGCTTTAATTGCTATTATCTGCTGATCAAAGGGATCACTTCCATCGAGGAGGGTAAGGGTAATACATACATGGGAACACCATCGGCTGTAAGCTGACTCGTTTTCGCGAGAGCGTACCTTATGGAAGTGTATGAAATTGTGAGGGGCATGGATAGTTAGAGTCTCTTTCCCACGGTGAAAATGTCAAATACTAGGGGGCATAGGTTTAAGCTGAGAGGGGGAAAGTTTAAAGGAGATATGTGAGGCAGGCTTTTTAAACAGAGGATGGTAGTTGCCTGGAATGTGCTGGTGAAGAGGTTGTGATAGTAGACTCAATAGCAACCTTTAAGAGGCATTTAGACAGACATGTAAACAGGTAGGGAATAGAAGGATACAGAACACGTGGGGGCAGATGGGATTAATTTAGAATGGCATCATGGCTAGCACAGACATCGTGGGCCGAAGGGTCTGTTCCTGTGCTGTACTGTTCTATGTTAATGTTCTAAATTTCCCTCCAAGCCACTCAGTACCCTGACTTGGTTGTTCCTTCTGTGTTTCTGGGTCAAATCCCTGGAATTCCCACCCTAAGGGCATTGTAGGTCTACCTACAGCATGTGGACTGCAGCGGTTCAAGAAGGCAGCTCACCACCACCTTCTCAAGGGGCAGCTAGGGACGGGGCAATAATGTCCAGCCAACAACACCCACATCCCAGGAGTAAATAAAAATATGAAGTGCATGAACAATGGATCACCCACTGTGCCAACGGCACTAGTATCAGATCTTCACTCATGTCACTAAGCTTTCCTGAATGAGATCATTTATTCAACATTAATTCCCACTGAATTGGAATGGCTTTGTGTTGGGAGCCTCCAAGACGGTGGGATTTTAAAAGGGTGGTACACATGGATTTCTCTGAATTTTTTTCAGCATCTGACTTGCATCTCTTTGGCTTGGGATGTATTTGTTCTTGGGTCTTTGGAGAAATGTCTGATGATCTCAAGCCCCCTGACCCACTGAGTGTAACCTGTAGTTGCTGAAAACTGAGCTAACCTTGGCTTGTGTTGGCCTTATCTGAGTGGGTAGCGCACTTGCCTCTGAAGCAGGATCCCATGGAGCGCAGGGTCAAGAGAGCACAAATTGATGCAGTGCCGAGGAATTGTGAAACCATTGGCGATGCCATAAGGTACGCTCTAGCGAAAACGAGTCAGCTTACAGCCGATGGTGTTCCCATGTATGTATTACCCTTACCCTCCTCGATGGAAGTGATCCCTTTGATCAGCAGATAATAGCAATTAAAGCATGTGATTACAGGAGAGGAAAAACAGAAGTCCAGAGCTGACCATTCTGCATGAGAAATTGAATTCTTAAACCCAGCCTCTTCTGTCTGTCAGGAAGGTATAAAAGCTGCTGTGGAGTTAGTTCACAGAAGATAAGGGGTGTTTTCCTGGAACCTGGTCAACATTTATCCTCGAGACAATGTCACTGAAACCAGCTAGTCATGTTTGAACATGATACAGTGCAGTAGGGGGCCATTTGGCCCATCTTGTCCATGCCGACCCAAAGACATCTAGATGCCCTGTCCAATCCCATCTTCCTGCACATAGGCCATATCCCTGCAGCTTATGGCACTTAAGGTGCAGATCCAGGTACTTTCTAAAAGAGTTTAGAGTCTCTGCCTCCACCACCAACTCAGGCAGCGAATTCTAGACACCCACCACCCTCTGTTTTTCCTCACATCTGTTCTAATCCTTCTGCCATTTCGCTTGAATCTACGACCCCTGGTTTTTCAACTCTCTGCCAAGAGAAACAGGTTCCTCCTGCCTACTCTATCTCTACCCCTCACAGTTTTGTATACCTCAATCATGTCACCCCTCAGCCTTCCCTGTTCCAAGGAAAACAACCCCAACCTCTCCAAACTCTCCTTGTTGCTACAACTTTCCAACCCTGGCAACATTCCCATAAATCTCCTCTGCGTTTCCTCCAGAGCAATTACGTCCTTCCTGTAATGTGGTGACCAGATTTGCCCACAGTGCTCCCGTTGTGGCCTCACCAGTGTCTTATTCGTTAATATGAAATTTCTGTGTGTTGGAGCTTGCTGTGTGTAAATTGGCTGTCAATATTTTGGCGACTACAATTTGTTTTTATGTAAAAGCATCTCATTGGGAGGTCCTGAGCATGGGATTATCACTGTATAAGCATCTCCAATATGTCCCCATTAGCAGCTTGTTAGAAATAAACTTGAGGAATTGGGTGGAGTTGGGTACAGTCAAGTTTTGTCTGGGTTCCATTCTGCAAAGACAGTGAGAGCACCTCGTACCTAGAGTAGACAGGCTGATGTTATTGTCCTTAGACTAGAGGTGGTTATCAGGGGTCATTTGATGAAGGTGCTTAGGAAGTATTTTGAGGAAATAAACAAACATAGAACATAGAACAGTACAGCACAGTACAGGCCCTTTGGCCCACGATGTTATGCCGACCTATTATCCTAAGATCAATCGATCCTGCATACCCTACATTTTACTATCATCCATGTGCCTATCCAAGAGTCGCTTAAAAGTCTCTGACTCCACTACCACTGCTGGCAGCACATTCCACACGCCCACCTCTCTCTGTGTGAAGAACCTACCTCTGACATCTCCCCTATACCTTCCTCCAATCACCTTAAAATTATGCCCCCTCGCAATAGTCATTTCCGCCCTGGGAAAAAGTCTCTGACTATCCAGTCTATCTATGCCTCACATCATCTTGTACACGTCTATCAAGTCACCTCTCTTCCTTCTTCGCTCCAATGAGAAAAGCCCAAGCTCCCTCAACCTTTCCTCATACGACCTGCCCTCCAGTCCAGTGAGCATCCTGGTAAATCTCCTCTGCACCCTCTCTAAAGCTTCTACATCTTTCCTATAATGAGGTGACGAGAACTGAACACAATAAGGAAGTAGTGTCCAAGGGAGGCAAGCTTGGTAACCTGAGGCTATGGACTTACTGTGAGTGGCAAAAGGGGGTAAAATGAGACAGTAATTTATTGCGCAGTAATTTGGACTGAATTGGCTGAAAGGTTGTTGGCAGCACATGCATTGGAAGGTTTAGAAGGGGAATGGGATTCAGAATCAAAGGGGGTATATTTTCCTGATTGTTCATAGGGCATGGGTATCAAGGCCACTTTTGTTGCCCCTTGCTAAAATACCCTTGAATTATGTCATTCTAGAAGGCTGTTAAGAAATGATGCCATTGCTGAGGGGCAACCTTTCCACACAGAGGGTGGTTTGTATGTTGAATGAGCTACTCAAGGAAGTGGTAGATTAGGGTGGCACAGTGGTTAGCACTGCTGCCTTTCAATACCAGGGACCTGGGTTTGATTCCAGCCTTGGGTGACTGTCTGTGTGGAGTTTGTATATTCTCCCCATGTCTGCGTGGGTTTCCTCCGGGAGCTCTGGTCTCCTCTCACAGTCCAAAGATGTGTGGATTGGCTGTGCTGAATCATCCCAGGGGACCAGGGGATGTGCATTCTCGGTGGATTAGCCATGGGAAATGCAGGGTTACTGGGATGGGGTGGGTCTCTTCAGAGGGTCAGTGAGGACTCGATGGGCCAAATGGCCTGCTCCCACAGTGTAGGGATTTTATAATGTATTTCAATTTCCATTCTTCCCCCAAGCCACAAGCTCAACCAGCTTAGTTTCCCTCTGAGCACTCACGTCCTGATTGGCAAGTTAGCATGGAATTTTTGGCTGATGATTTATAATATTCCTAACATTAATATGAGATATGGGGATTCTATGTAGATACAGTTCCAACATTTAATAGACATTTGGACAGGTACACGAATAGGAAGGTTTAGAGGGAAATGGACCAAACACAGGTAAATGGGACTGAGACAACAAGGTGCAGAGCTGGATGAACACAGCAGGCCAAGCAGCATCACAGGAGCAGGAAGGCTGACGTTTCAGGCCTAGACCCTTCATCAGAAATGGGACTGGTTCAGTTTGGAAAACCTGGTTGGCATGGATGAGTTGGACTAAAGGGTCTGTATCCATGCTGTGTGACTGCATGTTATGGGGTCTGCAATCACACAGAGGCCTGATCAAGGAAGGAATATACCTTCCTTCAAGGGCGTCACTGTAAAGCACACCTACTTCCCCAGTTAAAATAGCTGTCATGGTCACCCTTATTATAATCCAGATTTACTGAATGACCTGAAATTCCAACTCTAAGTCACAGATTTTGAACGCACCTTTCCTTGGCAGCAGGGAGCAAGCAACAGTTGTGTATCACAGTTTTAAGGGGCTAGAACAAGTCTAGTGGGTTGAATAGCCACTGTTAAATTCTGATTCCAAAGCCAAAAACACTCTTTTCAATAAAAGAGGCCCACTCAGAGTGAGTGTGTGTGTCAGCAGTATGAAGATTAACTTTACAACAGCGAAAAGGGAGCCGGTGGGGGTGGGGGAGTGTTTCAATTCTAACAGTAGTGAGCAAGCCATTATCAATGGAAAACTGTTTGCCCAACATCTCTGGTAGGGAGCCTGAGCAATGTCGTGAAATTGTAACGTCAATGTTAGAAGGTTAAATCTTCTCCAATTACATGCAATATGTTTTAGATTATGCAGTTACAGGGGCCTGCAGCTTCTAATGTCAACATAATCAATGTAGATTGCATTGGATGTACACAGCACATTGTACGGCACAATTGCCTGGGATAGTGTGTTATATGTCAGGGAGCATAGCACCATTGAGCAGCGATGTTAAAAATTTTAAAAGTTGATTATTTCTTTGCAGAGAACTTCGGACTGCCTAACAATTTTATATTTTCGGCCTCGTGCTGAGGGAGTGCAGACTCAAAGAAAATGATCAATTTTGCTTTGGAAGTGGTGGGACTGATTGACAACAAACATTGGCAGGATAGCAAGCCCAGTTCTGAAAAAGGGGGGCTTTCAAGATTTGGTCAGTGTAACATACAAAGTTGACGTAAGCTATGAGCAAAAGAAAAAGCTGCAGGCACTGTTGAAATGTCTTGTGAGTATTTGTAAATTTGAATTGTACAGCCCTTGTTGGATACTTTTTATCTGATTTTCATTTAGTCATTTCTTGGATGTGGGTGTTGCTGGCTGAACCAGCATTTATTGTCCATTCCTAATTGTCCTGAGAAGGTGCAGATGAGCTGCTTTCTTGAAGCACTGCAGTATTTGCGGTTTACGTACATCCACAGTGTCCTTAGGGAGGGAGTTCCAGGACTTTGAACCATTAACACTGAAAGAACGGCGATATATTTCCAAGTCAGGATGGTGTGTGACTTTGAGGGGATCTTGCAGGGGTTGGTATTCCCATACATCAGCTACCCTTTGTCCTTCTGGCTGTTGAGAATTTAGAAATTGCTGTTGAAGGAGTCTTAGTGAGTTATTACAGAACATCTTGTAGATGGTACACACTGTTGCCACTGTGCATCAGGGAGTGGATGTTTGTGGATGTGGTGCCAATCAAGCAGGCTGCTTTGTCCTGGATGATGTCAAACGTCTTGAATGTTGTTGGAGCTGCACCTAGCCAATTAAAACAAAAGTATTCGATCACGGTCCTGACCTGTGCCTTGTTGACAATGGATAGGCTTTGGGGGAGCATGAGGTGAGTTACTCATTGTTCTTTCAGTGTTACTGAGTTGAAATTCTGGAACCCACTCACTACCAGAAGTGTCCCTAAGACTTGCAACAGTTCAAGAAAGCTGCTCACTACCGCCTTCTGCAGGTTAGTTAGAAATGGGCAAGAAAGATCAGTCTAGCCAGTGATCCCATTAATGGATGAAACAACGAGAAAGCCTTCTCCTTATCAATCCCTCTCCTCTGATATCTTCTGCCCAAATTCTTCATGATTTTTAACATTTCATTCAAACTTCCTTTTAACCTTAATGGCCCTCAGGAAAGCCACTGCAGCTTTTTGAGTATCTGTAGGGGACCTCATCCCTGCTAATGTTCTTGGACGTTTCTTATCTTAACTGGTTGCTTCCTACCTACACTTCTCACTACCCATTCTTGACCTGAGCCCTGAATGGGTGCTGACAGCTAGTTCACATCACAGCCTGTGTTTGATCATACCATCCCACAAGACCCAACGCTGTACACTGCCACATGTGTGTTCACTGACTTCACAGTAAGTTAGAGCCTCAGCTTCTAGGTCAATCTTCCCTTTAAATCATTGTGGCCGTGCAGTCTGCAAGTCCCCCTTGCAGGAAGGCAGCCCCTTTAACTT